TCTTCTCCAACCTTCATGATTCGATGATTTGATGATTCGATAATTCTATATTAGAAAAAAATTTCTTCCCAGAAAGAGTGATGAGGGGTTGGAACAGGCTGGGCAGGGGCGGGGGGGGGGGTGCCCAGGGCAGTGGTGGAGTCACCATCCCTGGAGGGGGTCAAGAAACGTGTCGATGTGGGGCTTGGGGACATGGTTGGGTGGGGTTGGGTTGATGGTTGGACTTGATGATCCTGGAGGTCTTCTCCAACCTTCATGATTCGACGATTCTATGAAATAAATTGTATCAAGCCTAAATGGAAAAAAATGTAGAAATCAAACTACCCCATTGGGGTATAAGCAACGGTGATCTGCCATTTGAAATAATTTAATTTTTAAATAGTAACTTTCTAACTCAGCGTAGTTGAGGAAGAACAGAAATAGATCATCTTTAAAAACAAACAAGAAGACTTCTGCTTGGCCCTTGAAATTGCTTTTCGTTCTTGTACAAACGAAAAGTCTTTTAAAAACAGGCGTGCACAAAAGAAGGAAACAGCACAAATTCTTCCAAGTGAAATGTGCAAATTTTTTCCTTGATTTTTAAGAGATTAAGCCAATTTCGACAGATAAAAACTACGCATCTTCCACATATACCTGACCAGAGGCCAGTCGGCTGATGACAGACAAGAAATAGAAAGACCGAAGAGAAAAAAAGATGAGAAAGAAGATGCCAAGGATTTTTCTGGTGGTTGTTTAGGATCTGGAAAATCAGAGAATCTTATTTCTGCACCAGACGTGGTCAGAAAAATGAAAATGAAAAATAAAACTATGTGGTAGGCAAGGGTGAGAGATAATGATTTATAGAGGTGTTGGGGAAAGTGATTTTAGGAAGGCTCAACGAGCACGCAGATGGCGCCACATCGCTAATAACCAAATCACCAAAAATGGCAAAATCAAACCCGGTAAAATCACCAAAAATGGCAAAATCAAAACAGGCAAAATCACCAAAAATGGCAAAATCAAAACCATTCAAATCGCCAAAGATGGCAAAATCATAAAAGGTAAAGTCACCAAAAATGTCAAAATCTAAATGGGCAAAATCACCAAAAATGGCAAAATCAAAACCAGTAAAATCACCAAACCGGGCAAAATCAAAAATGGCAAAATCAAAACGGGCAAAATCACCAAAAATGGCAAAATGAAAACTGGCAAAATCATCAAAACGGGCAAAATCCCCCAAAATGGCAAAATCAAAACTGGCAAAATCACCAAAACTGGCAAAATCAAAACGGGCAAAATCACCAAAAATGGCAAAATCAAAATGGGTAAAATCACCAAAACTGGCAAAATCAAAACAGGCAAAATCACCAAAAATGCCAAAATCACCAAAACTGTCAAAATTTGTCTCCACAGGTTGCCGAGCTCAACAGCTGGCGGTACGGTTGCAACCCCGCGGTGTCCTCTACTCCAAATTCACCTTGGTGGAGCAGTGGGACAATCCCGGCGAGCGGGAACCGCGCGTTTTCGGCGTGGAACTGGGCCAACTGGTGGAACGGGAGAAAACAGCCACCAAAGTGCCGCTGCTCATCCAGAAATGTGTCGCTGAGATCGAGAAACGAGGGCTGAAGGTGAGCGGGGTGATATCTACGGTCTGGGAGGGGGTATCCAGCCCCCCCAAGCGGTGTCACCGATTGTCCCCGTTGGCAGGTGGTGGGGCTGTACCGGCTTTCCGCCGTCAAGAAGGAACTTCGCGACGCCTTCGAGAGGGACAGCGCGGCCGTGACGCTCTCGGAGCAGCTCTATCCCGACATCAACGTCATCACGGGTGGGTGCTGGCCCCGGCGAGGCGGGGGGGTGACCCCGCAGGTCCCCACGCCGTGCTGATGTCCCCTCCCGGGTTGTCCCCTCGGCCGTAGGGATCCTGAAGGATTACCTGCGGGAGCTGCCCACGCCGCTCATCACCCCCACGCTCTACCACGTGGTGCTGGAGGCCATGGGCAGGAGATCCACCCGGACCCCCCCGGGAGAGCGTGACGCCGTCAGCCTGCTCGACTGCCTGCCCGACGTTGAGAAGGTGGGGGCCCGGCGCCAAAAAAGGGGTGCTCAGGGCCAAAAATGGGATGCTCAGGGCCAAAAAAAGGGTGCTCAGCGCCAAAAATGGGGTGCTCAGTGCCAAAAAAAGGTGCTCAGCGCCAAAAAAAGGGTGCTCAGTGCCAAAAAAAGGGGTGCTCAGTGCCAAAAATGGGGTGCCCAGTGTCAAAAAAAAGGGGGTGCCCAGTGTCAAAGTGGGGTGCCCAGCGCTGAAAAAAGGGTGCTCAATGCCAAAAACGGGGTGCTCACTGACAAAAATGGGGTTCTCAGCACCAAAAAGGGGATGCTCAGGGCCAAAAATGGGATGCTCAGGGCCAAAAAAAGGGTGCTCAGTGCCAAAAATGGGGTGCTCAGCGCCAAGAATGGGGTGCTCAGTGACAAAAAAGGGGTGCCCAGTGCCAAAAATGGGGTGCTCAGCACCAAAAATGGGGTGCTCAGCATCAAAAAAGAGGGGGTGCCCAGTGTTGAAGAAAATGGGGTGCTCAGCGCCGAAAAAAGGGGTGCCCAGTGCCAAAAATGGGGTGCTCAGTGCCAAAAAAAGGTGCTCAGTGCCAAAAAAGGGGTGCTCAGTGCTAAAAATAGGGTGCTCAGTGCCAAAAATGGGGTGCTCAGCACCAAAAATAGGGTGCTCAGCATCAAAAAAGAGGGGGTGCCCAGTGTTGAAGAAAGTGGGGTGTCCAGCGCCAAAAAAAGGTGCCCAGCATAAAAATGGGGTGCCCAGTGCCAAAAAAAGGGGTGCCCAGCGTCAAAAAAAAAGGGGGTGCCCAGCACCAAAGAAAGTGGGGTGCCCACTGCCAAAAAAAGGGGGCACAGAACCAAAAAAGGGGTGCTCAGTGCCAAAAATGGGGTGCCCAGCATCAGAAAAAAAAAGGGGGTGCCCAGTGCCAAAAAAAAGGGGGCACAGCCGTGGTGAAGGACTGGGGGGGGACGATCCCAGGGTCAGGGTCTCCCCCATCCCAGTTGCCGCTGCAGACCGTCCTTATTTCCCAACTGGTGGCACAGGATGTGTCCCCGTGTCACCTCCCTCCTCAGGACCCCCACCCAGGTATTTTTTGGAGGTTTTTCATGCCCCCCGCCGCCCTCTGCCATAGCTGTGTGGCCCTGGTGACATCTGGGACACCCTCTATTTTAGGG